ATCCTGACCTTCAACTTTCTCTTCTCTAATTCATTTTCACTGAATTATACTTCTTGAATAATTTCTTCAAACTCTAACCTTATGCATTACCGCTACTACTACTGTGGTGCGCTCTACTTATAAGTAGTATATGACGTGAGGGTCAACGTAATGTCTGGCAGCAGATGGGGGAAGATCAGGAAAGGAAGGAAGAGTGGGAACACAATGGAATTTGTATGAAACGCATGAATAGTGAAATGTCAGACAATGAATTGAAGATTTGCAAATTAACCGTTTACGATATGGTTTTGCTATTTTACTGAATAACTCTGTCATCAGCTGCCCGGTGACCGTCTTCCCGCCAGCAACGACCGAGCTGTCATATACGGCCTTCGCCCTTCCTCTCAGCTGCGTCACCAGCACCAGCAACTTCGCCTTCGGTTCCTTTCACCCCAACCAGCTCCGCCACGGCCTCAAACTCCTTCAGGAAGCTCCGCATATCGTCCATAAACGTTTTCGGCCATGGAATCTTCATCCTTTGTGTAGGCAGGGACAAAAAATGTAGTGGACGAGAACACAGGTGGATCAACCGAAATGTATTTATCGAAAATTACAGAGTTACTCAGTAAAATCAGAAAACCATATCGTAAACGGTTAATTTGCAGATCTTCAATCCATTGTTTGACATTTCACTATTCATGCGTTTCATACAAATTCCATTGTGTTCCCACTCTTCTTCCTTTTTTGATCTTCCCTCATCTTCTGCTGCCAGACATTACGTTGACACTCACGTCATATACTACTTATAAGTAGCGCACACCACACTACTACTACTACTACCTCTACCTCACGCGACATCGGTACCAACTTGTACCTTCTAACTGATTGACTGACTGATAGTTCTTTATAATCTTAGTTTGCATAGTCTCATCATACCATTACATTGTTTTATTTGCATTAAGAAAATCAATAAAGAAAACGTACCATTTATCTATTGTTATTTTGCATTTCTTCTGTATCACAATAATCAGTCCATAACAAGAGTGTTGACCTCATTCATGAGAGAAAAACAAAACAAACAACATCCAAATGTATTCTTATCAATTGTATGATTATGTCTATTGTATTGAAATCTACTGAGTTATTTTTAGATTACATATTCTCTTTCTCACTTACTTGTCTTCTGTTCAGAAGTTGTGTAACAATGAAGGTCAAAATTCCGACGCCGCTGCCCCCCCCCTCACCTCACAGTTTTTTGGCATTCATTTTTGTAAATTAGCTACAGATTGATTAAATTAGATGTGCATTACGGGTTTGTTGTGAAGATTGTTAAGTTGCACATTTTTTGAAACTATGAATCGATGATCAATGTTAGACCACCACTCGAAGAAACCTGGAAGCACTGGATGGCCATTTCGTCCTGGGCTCAGTGGTCTAACGGTTAGGGCGTTCGGGCACAATGCCGAATGTCCCGGGTTCGAATCCTACGGGATGCAGGAATCGTGGATGCGCACTGTTGAGGAGTCCCTGTACCAGGGACTGAAACTGGCCGTCCATGTGCTTCTACGTTCCTAATGGTGGTCTAACATTGATCGATTCATGGTTTCAAAAATGTGTAAATTAGATGTGTATAAAGCTTATTTACTCTCATCGTTTCTCTACCTTCGCCTAGGCGATCGATTGGATTATGTAGATGTCAACATTGTGGCAGAGGAGCATGGGATACAATGGACAGTTAGGATGTGGCTGGACGATGTAGACTTTGTAGATCGTCTGACTCTTCTATCACACATTCAACAACAGAGATAGAAGATGATGAATGTAGCTTTAGTCTTTGTATGAGTACATCTCAACATACACAAGGTAAAAAGTAAGATTCTCCAATACAATCACACAACATACGCTCGTTGGAGATGCCTTGGCGGATGTAAAAACCGTTACGTATATGTGCAGTCTCATTGATGAGCAAGTTGGATCTAAAGCACAAGTGAAGGTGTGGATTAGCAAAACAAGAGTTGCATTTCTACAATCGAAGAACATTTAGAATTGAAAACAGCTGCCTACCAATCAATGCCGAAATGAGAATTTTCATTAGAAATATAGAGACACTCATACTGTATGGAACATTCTTCTATCCTATGCCAAACAAGCTGGTTGGTGAATGAGCAATCATAAGATGAAAAGGTAGCGAACTTGAGGTCAATCGATAAATCAGTATTACTCTGACTGTAATAGGCACATGATCCTAGTTAGATATTTCTTTCAAACTATCATCTTTGACAATATAATGCTATCTTTTTCGTAATGGAAGGGAAGACTAGAAAAAATCTGTGTGGTAATTTAACAATGTTCATGTACACGATTGCTTCGGTCGTCAAAAGGGGAACCGATGATATGTTCGTCACTAGGTACGCTTGAAGCTATTACGAGTTCACCTTAGTCGATAAACGCGAACGAGACAATTATCAGCGTCCAGATAGGCTACCTTGAATCCCAAGCTGAAGACAGAAGGCTTTGTAAGCGTAGAAAGTATATTCTACAAAAATCCAGCAATCACAATCCAATCAAGCACACAACTCTCGTTTATTTATATATCATAGAAACGTCCTTGGGACAGTTACGAAAATAACACACTAAAATACACAGCAGCCAACCACAGCCAAGGATTTTCCTGGTGGGAAATGTAATCTCAAGGTCAGCTGGTCAATCCATGCTGGCAAACGTGAAATCCAAAATAAGGCATTTAACAAGCGAGTTTCGGGGATCTAACATCTCCAACAACCGGGCTCGTGAATTCCGAAGGAACTCAAATTTCATTATAAGACATCATGACTCTTCTGAAAGAAGACCTTCTTAATCCCAGGGCAGAGTTAAAATGGATTGAATTGTGTTTTCTAGTTAGCGTTTTTTTAGTAAGTTTGTTTTCTGCGCGATGGGGTTGCTAATCCCATGACCAACCCTCTTCCTTTATCAGGATTTGGAATCATCAGTAACCCAAGAAGAACTTCAGGCGTAGCCCACTTCAAAGTTGATTGACTCATTTACTATTATAAGTTAGCCTGCAGTGCATAAGATGAGTTAATCTTACATTACACGCTCATCGAAGATTAGTGGTATAACCTTGAATAGTTTACTTTAGGAGGGGGATTGTGAAAACTGTAGAATATTTGTTGTTTAAATCAAGTGATTACTAGTCAATCACTTCAAAATGTAATTCTACTGAGGAGCGGTAACTAGCAGTAATTAATCCTGTAGAGTGTAAGACACTTATCCACCTGAGGCAATGGAAGATGGCTGTGCAATATGCAGAAATGATTCAGGTTCAATATACATGGGCCATTAGGAGCTAGCTCAGAAGTTTAGTTGTTGAGCTTTGGCGCACAAGACAAGAAAGCTTGGGTTCGGGGTCCTTGATGTGGAAATTCAACGTATTCTCAGCAAGTATCATAATTCATTACTTCATAAACACATTCACTTCATTAGATAACCATATTCACTAGTAATGAACTTAGATACATTACTAAAACCCTTTGAACTTAGCAGATCATTTAAAGCAAACAGTATTGGATTCGAGTCTCGTAATGGACATCAATTTCGGGATGCAGGTACATTCACCTAATGACAAGTTTCAGAGAGGCTGAAACGCCCCACCTCACTTCCACTGCTAACTACCACTATCCATCTCTGATTATGATGTTTATATTTGCTTCTAGTAAACATGTTTACATAATTGATCGATCTTTCGGTAGGTATTGACCAATGTCATGTAGGTGAGGTGTTTCTTAATGCTGACTGTATTTTATCGGTCAAGTAGCAATCAGGTCACTAGTTTAAGTAACTCTACATTATGATCGTGAATTGATCAATATTAGACCACCACTAAAAAACCTCGAAGCACTAGATAACCGTTTTGTCCTAATATGTAGCTCATCATCAGTGTGCATCCATTACTCCTGCAACTTGCAGGATTCGAACCCAGACATTGTGACTAGTGGAGTTCAACCCTGTTCAGCTATGAAGCAATGGATGATGCTGCACAAAAGTTAGATATTAACACCCTTTGGATGAAGGCTCAGTGGTCATCCCGAAGCTAAGCGTTAGCATACAAGAGCGAAGGTCCTGGAACCGATTCGTGCGAGTAACAAGAATCGTGGATGTGCAGTACTGATAAGTCCCATACGAGGACAAAACGGCCTTCCAGGTCTCTAATAGCAGTTTACTACTGATCGTTTCATGTTTTCAAAAGGAGCCCCACTGTGGTGCGAGCTACTTATAAGTAGTATATGACGTGAGTGTCAACGTAATGTCTGGCAGCAGAAGATGAGGGAAGATCAAGAAAGGAAGAGTTAGAAGAACACAATGGAATTTGTATGAAACGCATGAATAGTGACAATGGATTGATGTTTTGCAACAGGAACAGTCCAGTTCGATATGATGGACTGATATTTTGCAAATGAACGATTTACGATATGGTTTTCCGATTTTACTGAGTAACTCTGTAATGTTCGTTAAATACAATCCGGTTGCCCCACCTTTGTTCTCCTTCACTACATTTGGTGTCGCTGCCTGCTCGGAGGAAGGAGCTCCCGTGGCTGAAGTGGTAATCCGACATATTGTAGCGTGTCACGGAATACGGAAGGTGATATTAACTGACCAGGGTCCCTGTTTTGAAAGACTACGACAACAGATTATAAAAAGGGGGGACGAGTGTGGTGTGAGATACGTATAAGTAGTATATGACGTGAGTGTAAACGTAATGTCTGGCAGCAGAAGATGAATGGTAAGATCAAGAAAGGAAGAGTTAGAAGAACACAATGGAATTTGTATGAAACGCATGAATAGTGAAATGTCAGACAATGGATTAATGATGGATTGAAGATTTGCAAATGAACGATTTACGATATGGTTTTCCAATTTTACTGATTAACTCTGTAATTTTCGCTAAATACAATTCGGTTGCAACACCGGTGTTCTCCTTCACTACACCACAACCTTCCCAACCTTATAGTCAAAAGTTTTTTTTTTCATATTTACTATCAAACTTTTAATCATTAAAACAAAATTTTTAGAAATAAACGCCAACCAATCCAATGAAGACCAACAAATAAATGTACACTGAACTACTACTAAGAAAACGCGCACACACGTGCACACACACACACTGAAAATGAAGCACTCACTACATACTACTCACATGATTCACTTGATATGATTGCTTTGAAAACAGAGTACAAGCTAATCACTATCAAAGATTAAAACGCCTAAATAGACACATTTCTTTTTTAAGGTGTCCTTTGTTGTTTATCCTTCACTAAAAGTGATGTAATCACGTGTTATTGATTTTACACGGTACAATGTATTACTTGTTCAATGTGTTCTTTCAAATAAAAAGTACAATAATTATGGTTTAATAATAATAATAATAATAATAATGTATGTTACTAAGTAACACACTATTAACAAAATTGAATTTTGAACAGAGAGTAAATAAAAGTAGACACAGATAAACAAAATGTATGTATTGTTGAACAAACATGAGTCAAATTAATCAATCGATCGATCGATATTTTAAAATTCTTGCTCCTCATCTTCTTCATCAATTAACACTGTATCACAACCAACTTCAGCGTAATCTTTTTCTAATGCCGCTGTATCTTCACGTGCCTCGGAGAATTCCCCTTCTTCCATACCTTCACCAACATACCAATGTACAAATGCACGTTTAGCATACATCAAATCGAATTTCCTATCTAAACGTGCCCATGCCTCGGCTATTGCAGTGGTATTACTCAACATACACACAGCACGTTGTACTTTGGCTAAATCACCACCAGGTACAACAGTTGGTGGTTGATAATTGATGCCCACTTTGAAACCAGTTGGACACCAATCCACAAATTGAATGGCTTTTTTAGTTTTAAGTTTAGCTATAGCAGTGTTGACATCTTTGGGTACAACATCACCACGATATAATAAACAGCAGGCCATATATTTCCCTGTTCTTGGATCACATTTGACCATTTGATTACCAGATTCAAAACATGAATTTGTAATTTCAGCCACACTTAATTGTTCATGATAAGCTTTTTCAGCTGAAATAATTGGTGCATAAGTGGCCAATGGGAAATGGATACGTGGATAAGGGACTAAATTAGTTTGGAATTCAGTTAAGTCCACATTCAATGCACCATCGAAACGTAGCGAAGCAGTGATTGAGCTGACAATTTGAGCAATTAATCTATTCAAATTTGTGTAGGTTGGAAGACCAATGCCTAAGTTTTTTCTGATGTGAAAAAAAAAACACAAACAAGAGTGTTAATTTTGATTGAGCTGATGAATTGATTAGTGTAAGACTACTATAAGAAACTTGAAAGTATTAAGTAACCGTTTTGTCTTAGTTTGTGGCTTATCAGTCAGTCAGTCAGACAGTGTGTTACAATGTAGAACTTCGTACTTACATATATCAGTTCAGGTTGTCATACAACATAAGCACAGTGGTACAGATAGTAGAAGTATTAGCAGTAATGGAGAAGATTAGGATTCGAAGATATTATTCACAAAGGATAATCTCATGAAATAAACTTAAAAATATAGAGTTGATGAGGAATTTGTAAGTTTAGAATTTGAGAGAACACAAATAGTGGATGTACCTGCGCCATCGCAAACGATTCTGAGTCATGTCGTTCAAAGTCCTAAACAATCGGTTCCTATCGTCTCGCAGTCCCCAACCAGGTAGTCTACATCTACCAACATGACTCAGACTACTTGTCAATGACTTCATGAATCTGTGTCATGTTTTGGTTTGACCGCCCCTAGCTTTCTTTGAACTTACTCCTGTACCACAAAACATTACTCGTCAAGGCAGTCGTTGTTATGGGATACGTAATACATGTCCCAACCACCTCAACTGATGAAGTTTCACCATTTCATCTATTGATCTGTCATTCTTACCTAGTACTCGTCTTCTAACGACAGCATTGCTTACTCCGTTGTCACATGATACACGAGCAATGCTTCGAAGACACATCTATGGTCGAAAATCAGTAACCTACGAACATCATCTACTCTCACTGGCCATGTTTCACAACCATAAAGTAGGACGGAGCGAACTACTGCGTAATACACTCGTCCTCTAGTCAGCAAATTGATATCTCGCCTACGCCATAAGTGACGCAAGTTGGCAAAAGCCAGTCGAGCCTTTTGTGTTCGTGTTAAGATTTTGTCACACATCAGACCATCAGCACTGATGAGACTCTCAAGATAAGTAAAGCGGTCAACACGCCTAAATGCTTCACTTGCTATCACTAGTTCAGGTGCCGATGCAACCCAATCTAGACGCAACGTTTTGAATTTCGAGGGTGAGAAACGCATTCCAAACATGCTTGCATTGTTGCTTAGGGTGTTTAGAAGACTCTGCAGTTTGTCAGCGTCTTCACCAAATAGAACTATGTCATCGGTATATCTTAAGTCAACAAGCGTGTCTCTTGGTAGATATGGGGCTTATCAGAAGTGTGCATCAATGATCCCAAGAGTAGGGATCGAAACCAAGACCTTTTTAGTCTCATGCACGATCGCTTAACGTCTTGGCAACTGAGACAGTATCCAACTTCGCTTAATCCACAACATTGCGTCACCATCATCCGTTGTTTTCGGTGGATAACTCCAACTTACAGTTGACACAGTTTCCCCATCAGAATTTCGAGAATACCCTTACAAAATTAGTTACTAATAAGTATATGATAAGTGTTATACGTACTTTCAATGAAACGAACAATTATATCAACTTCCTATTGTAAAATTATGGAGATCGTGTTTTTTATACCGTGGAAATTGTGATTTAATCATCGTTAGACCACCTTTAGAAACTTGACTCAGTCGTTCAGAGGTTAAACATTCGTACGCAACACCAAAGGTCCTGGGTTCGAATCCTGCAAGCGGCAGGTATCGTAGATGCGCATACGTGTCCCATACGTGGTACGGAACAGCCATCCAGTACTTCCAGGTTTCTTCTAATGATGGTCTAACAATGATTAAATCACAATGTCAGTCTCATTATATCAATAACAACAGCAAAAAATATGCCTATTACCTACCTGCAAATATCATAAATCGCCTCATTATCAACCATAAAAGCACAATCAGAATGTTCCAATGTAGTGTGTGTTGTTAAAATTGAATTGTATGGTTCAACTATAGCTGTAGCAATTTGTGGTGCAGGATACACTGCAAATTCCAGCTTGGATCGTTTACCATATTCTACACTTAAACGTTCCATCAGTAGCGATGTAAACCCTGAGCCAGTACCACCACCGAATGAATGAAAAATCAAAAATCCTTGCAATCCAGTACATTGATCAGCGGATTTACGAATACGTTCCAAAACTAAATCAATAATTTCTTTGCCAACCGTATAATGACCACGTGCATAATTATTCGCAGCATCCTCTTTACCAGTGATCAATTGTTCCGGATGGAATAACTGGCGATAAGTTCCAGTTCGTACTTCATCCACAACATTTGGTTCTAAGTCGACGAACACAGCACGTGGTACATGTTTGCCTGAACTCATTTCCGTGAAGAATGTATTAAAAGCCCCATCGGTTTTCTCCTTAATCTCATTATTTGGCATATGACCATCGGGTTGAATACCATGTTCTAAGCAATACAATTCCCAGCATGCATTGCCCATTTGAACACCAGCTTGACCAATATGTAAACTGATACATTCACGCTAATGAGGTTATTTTTTAAAGAGAAAAAAAAACACATTTATATTTGAAAAAATAATGATAATTACCATGATTGAAAATGCCGGCGAAATATGAATGAATTGATCAGCGATGAAATGAATTGACTAGAACCAACCCCAACCGACAAGCAGAAAAAAAACGGGCGAACACTGAGATCTGCGCTCTTCTTCCACACACACTAAACACACTGATTCAAAGTGTGATTTTTTTGGTTTAAAAACAACAATAACAGCAGTAGTTAGTTTTATACTGATTTGAAAATAATGATGACATGAATTGTATTGGTTGTAATTTACATCTGACCTAAATACCTAATTCTATGTGTGTGTGTGTGTGAGAGAGAGAGAGCGTGCGCTTGTGTACACTGTATAGATTACTGTACATATGAAGTAGAACTTACTTACAGTTGTATACACAACGCCATGATACCTACCTAACTACCTACCTTCACACACACACACACACAAAGTAAACACCCTCAAAAACAAAGCACGTCCCTTTTTTTTTAAGTGGCGATAGTTTGCAGTCAGTGTACATACACTTCAACTATCATATGAACCTGTATGCGGCATTAATATATTGACTTTCCTGTCAATAGATACAAGCACACACTTGCACACTTACACACTTACACACACACTAACACACAAATGCATAAAACATACCCTACAAACAGAAAAGCACAAAATAAACTTGAAATATGTGATTTTCACTGATTTATCCTGGCAGTTAGTATTTCTCTATGTATAGAAATGTATTGATGATATTATTACTCTTGTTACACCCAAATGGAGTATAGGTTGCAGAATAGTATTCTTCAAGCTGTACCGTCTTCGACTCTCCTTAACACTTGTTCGCGATGCTTATACAATCACTTCACACGTCATTTTGGGGCAGAGTTTTGGAGGTTTGTGTTTTTACACATTTGAAATCATCAATCAATCATTGTTAGACCACCATTAGAAGAAACCTGGAAGCACTGGACGGCCGTTTCGTCCTGGTTTGGGACTCATCTTAGATGCGCACCGCTGATGAGTCCCATACTAGGATGAAATAACCATCCAGTGATTCCAGATTTCTAATAGTGGTAGTCTAACATCGAATGATTCATCATTTCAATAAAACAAAGGCCATATACCAATGAAACTCATTTTCAGTTTAAATACGTGAACATTTCTGTTTGGATGAATATCCCAGTATGTTCTGTCCAATATTCAATCAGTTCATTATCCTGATGATGAATGAACTTTGAAAAAAAATCATTTGTGCACACACATATTCGGAAATATTTGGGTATCAGAAATATTTGTGATAACAAGATAATTTGGATAGATTTGAGTTGTTGAACTCTTAGGGATATGTTGAAAGATGAAAATGGAGATAAGACGATGGGTTTGATCCTAAATATAAGGCCTTTTTGAAGATAATAAGGCTTTTACAAATTCAGTTAGTATATTTGCTGTACAGATCACATGCCTGATTATAAAGACATTTCTTACTTACTAACTTACTTGATTACACGTGTTACCTCTCATCGAGTATAGGCCACTGACCAGCATTCTCTAACTTGCTATGTCTTGGGCTGTCCATTCCCGTTCGACCCGGTCGCTGTTCATTCTTTTGACGTCTATCACCAGTTCACGGTGCCATGTATTCTTCGGTCAGCCTACTTTTCCTTTGACCTTGAGGGTTCCAAGTGAGGACTTGTCTTGTGATACAGTTGGATGCTTTCCTTAATATATGTGCTGTCCATTTAAAGCGTTTCTTCCTCCACTGGAATCTGGTTTGTTGTCTCCCACAGCAGGTCGCTGCTGATGATGTCTGTAAAGATATTCTGACAACAAGAACAATAAAAAATCTATTTTTCATGATTTCATTTTCTCAAAATCGTAGAATCATATTTATAGTTAATATGTAATCTATTATTAATTAAAATGGGGAAGTGTTGCATTATGAAATAATAATTGCTAACAATGAAAAATATTTCCAGTTATCGATCACAAAAATCCGATCAATAGCTCAAATCTTGAACATCTCGTCAATTCTAATCACAATGCACACATCATGTGAAAGAAACATCGTACAAAATTAGAAAAGTACTCAACTTGATTAAGGTTAAGATAAGAAATTTTGTACACACATTTAAAGTTAATTGCCATGCCTCATTTCTAGTTTAACATGTGTGTTTATAAAAGAGTTAGTTAGAATCAATCCCTCATTCTTACCTGGTTTGAGTATTGTGTTTAACTTTAAACATGGTGAGTATAAATCAATCACAGTTGACGGAGAAGCTTTGAAGGATGTATATTTATATATATTTATATATCTGAGAAGCATCACTGATGAGCAAGGTTGATCTGATGCAGATGTGAAGGTGTGGCTCGGCAAATCAAGGGCAACATTTCTACAATTGAACAACATCCACAACTCAAAACAACCATCAACCAACACCAAAATAAAAATTTTCAACACAAACGTCAAGACAGTTCTACTGTATGGAGCGGAAACTTGGAGAACTACAAAAGCCATCATCCAGAAGATACAAGTGTTTATTAACAGTTGTCCACGCAAAATACTTCGGATTCGTTGGCCAGACACCATCAGCAACAACGTACTGTGGGAGAGAACAAACCAGATTCGAGTGGGGGAGGAAATCAGAAAAATGTGGTGGAAGTGGATAGGACACATATTGAGGAAAGCATCCAACTGAGTCACAAGACAAGCCATCACTTGAAATCCTCAAGGTCAAAGGAGAAGAGGAAGGCCAAATGGAGACAGACATGAGAAGAATGAACAACAATGGGACAGGACTCGATAAGAAGGGCGAGGACAGAGTAAGTTCGAGAATGCTGGTAGGTGGCGTATTCTCCACTAGGAGTAACAGGCGTAAGTAAGTAAGTAAGTAAGTAAAATAAGCTTATAAATCAGTATTCACTTTCTTCTACTCATTCATTCTTGTTAAGTAGACAGTTGTTATTGACATCTATTTATTAAACGAAATGTCCAAGTTAATTAAATCTTTGATCGATTCTAATCAGTTTGTCAAATGATATAACACTTCTGCATACTTGGCACCGGATTTCTGTTCGCATACATCTGTTTTTACTCATAGTTTTTTAAATCAGTAAGTGATTTTAGCTAGATCACTACTGTGGACCCAATACGGTGAGTACTACTTACACTGAAGTTTGTACATAGTATACCAAGGAAATACAACACAGTGTCGCTTTCAATTTGGGGACGCAGAGTGTTGAGTATTGAATCCAAACGTATGATGCGATCAAAGTGTTTTTAGAAGGATGATAGACATTAGAAAGTAAGTAGTCAAGAATATGCTTATGATTTATGATTTTCTCTGGTAAATAATATTTTCTTTAAATAAATAGCTTGTTCCATCTGGTCTTACTATCTTCATTTTCAACACATCGACGACATTAGACTTTTAAACAGTTATGCATAAATTCATGACCTCATATCTGTATAGGTCAAACGGTTGATTTTCAATTTCTTTTATTATTGAAAATTGAAAATATTTCACTTGTTTTTTTTTCAATAAAAAAAAAATTACTTATCACTAAGATTGTACAATTTTAGAAAGTAGGTTAATTTCAATTATTTTTTTGTTTCATTTT